TCAGGGAGCAGCAATTTTAAGCGCCGTTCCCTTTGATGCAAGCACCGAGCGCTGGGCACACTCCTGGGTCACTTCCCAGCCTCAGCACAGACGACTTCTCTTCACGGCCCCATTAATAACCACTCCCATCCCCCCGCCGCGGCAGAGGCCACATATATAATATTTAAACCACGTTGGTGGATGACAGAGACGTACGGATATTTTTAATCCCCACAGACTATTATGGTTCATATCATGCCTGTCAAATAAATATTATGAATCATTTCCCGTTATCTTTATGGGGGCAAGTCGGCTACACCGGGGGATTGGGCACAGACCTCCCTGCGTCTCTCCAGCTCGTATGTATGTGTGCGCGGACGCAGGGAGATTTATGTGGCAATTGTTGATAGTAAGTGCCCAGATCAAACACATCACCTCCCCACCTGATGGGCGGTGTGGGGGGGCGTGCCATATTCAGATCCAGATGGGGCTGGGACGGCACCCAGCCTGGGAGTCTTGGCCTTTGCCCTTCCCAACTCCTGTGATATGTTAACATCCATTTCCCTGTGGTCATACTCTCTTTCCTCGTTAAAAAGCTTCCGTGATTAGCTGGTTCTTTTATCCCATTTTATAGAAGAAGAGACTAAGGCTCAGAGGGGCCCTTGTTGAAAGGCCATGTGAGAGTTAGTAGTAGAGCCAGGCTATAGCCTCTTACTCCGGGGACCTCCCCTAGCACCCAGTTTTCCAAGTCTAGAACCTGTCCCTTCCATCTGGACTCTGGTTGTACCTGGCACCTGTGCTCTGGCCGACCTGCCCCTCACCGTGACGGCAGGGAGGTGGAGCGGCTCACCAGAGGCAGATGCAAGGTTGGTGGTTGCCCAGAGGCCCTCCCGGGGTTCTGACCTCAGCCCTGGGTCCGGTGACCAGGGTGCTGGAGCCACTGCATGATCTGGAGTCAGTCCCTGCTGCTCTCAGTCTCAGTGTTTCCACCTGTGAAATGGGGAAACGGGAGTCTTGGGCTGTGTGGTGGGGTTAGAGGAGACAGTGCCGGAAACTTCCGTGTCCTCCTCCCCCGACTCTCTGAACGGCTCCGGCCCCTCCCCAGGGGGTCTGTGACTCCTTGCACCTGGCCTTAGGTTTCGGCAGGAGCATGTCTTTGGCTGTTTGGAGGCCCCTGGAGGGGACCCACCAGCTCTTGTGGGAGCAGCCCGGGAAGCCTGGTCCTTCCCCAGGGGCCAGCCCCCATCTCCTTGAGCCTCGCTCACCTGAACTGGTTGGCTCAAGTCCCTGTGCAGCTCCCCGGGCTTCTGGACGTAGCAGCCCACACAGTGACAGTGACGGAGGTAGGCTGTCTGCCTTCCAAAGACCCCTCCAGCCCCCCACTGCTTTGGGTGTGCAGGGAGGGCGGAGTGTTGTACGGCAAACGCTTTCCCAGCGGAGCAGAGCAGGGCAGAGGGGTTGTCCTCTCGTCTTCTCCCCTCCCCCGTTCCCTGTTTCCCCCTAGACGGATGAAGAGAGGAGATATGACAGGGGTGGGGGCATGGGACCCCTGGGTCCTAGTCCCAGCTCCATCTCGCCCTGCTGGGTGATTTCCGGCGAGCCCCTGCCTCCCTGAGCGTCACCCCCACCTCCCAGCCTGAGTCACCTGTCACCACAGACAGAAAGTGTTAGCCCCAAAGGAGCCACAGGGGAGGTGAGAAAGGGCCCCTTTGCACTGGAGTGCTTGGGACAGAGGCGGGCTGGATGGGCCACCTTGTCCAGAACAGCCGTGCAGTGTTCCCTGGCCTGCCTTGCCGGGGGCTGAGCGCCCCAAGCCTCCGTGAGGTTCCTTTAGCTCAGGATCACGCGAGCCCTCCCTCCTGTCGGGGACAGGACAGGAAGCAGCCCCGCACCCCCTTAGCGCCCCGGGAGCTGCCTGGAGCCGTCCACCCAGATGCCAGCTCCCGGCTGCCCAGCCAGCACAGACACCGGCCTTTAAGAAAGTTATTCACCCAGTGACTCCCGAGACTGTTTACAAGACTGAGCCGAGACAGGCGCGTGAAATAGGCCAAAGTACCTTAAAAAGCATCCTTCAGGGGAATTTTTTAAAAAAAGCTCCAAACAAAAAACAAAAAACAAAACGCTCTTAGAGCCCAGCTTGTAAATAGATGGATATTACTATAAAAATACTTTTGGCTGCAGAAGCACCCGGCAGGAAGGCTAGGGTGGTTTTTTCCACGGTTCGCTTGGACCTGGCACTCCGAATGGGGCAGCCGCCGTGCCGGGCGGTTTCGTGTGGGATCATTTGCACCATAGAGCCCCAAATTGAGGGGAGAGTGAAAAACAGTGGCCGCAGAAATAACAAGCGGCACCGTCACTTTCCATCGGGGAGGGGAGTGTTTCTCCAGCTCCCGGCACCGGCCCTGACGCCCTGGGCAGGGAAGGCCAGGCTAAGAGCGCTCACCACCTGTGGGCACCCGGGCTGATCTGTGGGGCTCTGGACCCCAGATGCTCTCCACTGTCCCAAACATCCCTAGGAGTGCTGGGGAGAGGCACGTGCTGGGTGATGCCTTTTGGTGTTTCTTAGGAAGGAGGCCTCGGCTTTCCCTGGGGCGAGAGGGGCCGTGCTGAAATTTGCCATGTGTGCACCTCTCTGCCTCTGCGCACCAACGTGTGCAAGGGCTGGGGGAGGGGAGGGCGCGGTGGGGAGCCAGGTCGCCCACCGAGGAGGTGACCTCAGGAGCTTCAGCTGGGCCTCTGAGGACCCCAGGACAAGCTGTCACCCCACTGCTCGGTGTGTTCTGACCACAGCTCACGCCGGCCCTCTGCCTGGGTGCCTCACCCCTGTCCCTGCCTGAAAAACCTCCTTCATTTTTTTTTTTGAGACAGTCTTTCTCTCTCTCTCTCTCTCTCTGTTGCCCCGACACTCTGCCATAGAGTCATCACAGCTCACTGCAGCCTCCAACTCCTGGGCTCAAGTGATCCTTCTGCACTCACCACCGTGCCAGGCTAATTTTTTCTACTTTTAGTAGAGACAGGGTCTTGCTCTTGCTCAGGCTGGTCTCGAACTCCTGAGCTCAAACGATCCTCCCACCTCGGCCTCCCAGAGTGCTAGGATTACAGGCGTGAGCCACCATGCCCTGTGGAAAACCCTCAAAACCCAGCTCAAGACCATCCTCAAACTTGCGGGTGTGTCTTAACTCCTCTCTGGGCTGTGGCTTCAGCAGGGCAGGTGACCTGCCTAACTTATTTCATAACAGTAACAATAACTATCACTTACTGAACCGGTCCTCTTGGAGCCAGCCTCTCCCCGCATTATCTCATTTAGTCATCTCGGTGACTCAGAGGGGAGGGTGTGGCTGTTTCCATTTACAAATGAGGAAACTGAGGAACAAGTAGGGAAGTAACCTGGCCAGCCCACATGGCTGGTGAGAGGCAGCACCGGGACCTGGCCCGTGACTTGTCCATCTGGGCCCACAGCTCCACCAGGGTGCCCAGGGTCCGGCCCTTGGTAAGGGCTCCGCAGGTGTTTGTTGACCGATCAAATGATCCACAACACTGGAAAACAGGGGTTATTCACATTTTCCTTCCATTGCCCTCCGCCATTCCCATCCTTTCTGTCCTGAGACCAGCGTGGACAGGCTGTCCACAGCTCACAGAGCCCATAGCCCTGGCAGGAAGCCAGCACAGGCTGACACCCTTGGTGGCCCAGCGGTCCCAAGGACGGGCCCTGGGTTCAAACGCTGGCTTCACCCAGCTGTAGAAGTGCTCTAGCACGTCATCTGTCCCCACAGGTCAGGTGGGTTAGTAGTGCCCACTGTTCACGGCTGCTGGAGGATCTCATAGTGACTCTGTCAAGGGAGGGCGTGGGCGCCATGTCCCGGGGGCTTTTCTTCCTGGCCACTTGTGCTGCGAGGCCTGTGAGGTCGGATGCAGGCCAGGAGGACAGGGCCCAAGAGGGCCACGGATTGTGTGCCACGGTCTGGGGTACTAGAGGCAGGCCTGGGAGCTGGGCCTGGCCCACAGCATATGCCCAGTATATGTCGGCGCTCATGGGGCCTCCTTCCTGTGTCCCCCCGGCCCCCCAAAACCCCCTGCTCTGGCAGGAGGTCATCAGGTGGGGCTGGCGTGCGTGGGGTGGGGCAGTAGGTTTGTTGTGGTTGTGATGTGAGTGGGTGAGAGCCCCAGGTAAGCCAGCTGCTGCAGGCTGCCTACTGGACAGGGTGTGTGTATGGGTGGGGGGGCCTCTGCTGGGGGACAGGGAGCCAGCTAATAGGGGAAGGGCGGAGAGAGCTGCCCACGTGGGCCTCTGCTGGGGGCGGGCTGCCCAACCAGGGCTCACCCTCACGGTCCCCCAGGGGTGCCCCTGCCCCACGTGGAGTGAGGGCCTCCCTCCTGGACAGGCCATAGTGGCCCTCCTGGGATCTGGCTCTTGGTGGTTGGCTTTAGGAGGGTCCTGCTTCTGCCCCATTTCACAGAGGAGGAAAGTGAATCCCAGAGGGTGGTCACCCTGGTGACAGTGGTAAACCCAGGCAGCAGGACACCCTCTCCAGTCAAGCTGTGGCTGTCTCTGGGCAGTGTGATGGCCTTCTGTACCTGGTCATCACTGCCCTCCCTGTGCACAGCCCGACCCGGGAACCGCGTGCAGCCTCCGAGACTCCGGCAAGCCCCTCTGCCTGGCAGAGCCCGCGCCTGCACCCCCTGGACCCTGGGTCTAACCGGGCCATGCGCAAGGGGTGTGGCGAGGAGGGAGGCGGGGTGTCCGGCCAGCCAGGGGGGCGGCCGTGGCTGCGACTGCCCGCGAAGGCCGGCTTGGCTCCGGGCAGGTAGCTCACACCCAAACCCGAATTCCAGCCGCCCAGGACGGCGGCGGAAGAGGCCCAAGCTGTCCTGGGGCAGGAGTGCTTCCTTTCGTTTTTAAACAAACAAACTATGAATTTGGAAGTCAGGGCAGAGAACTACCCAAGGTATAAAAATAGCCACCAGCCACAAAGTCCTGTCCCACTCTTGCAGCTCGCTGCCTGGGAGGAGGGGTCCGAGAAGTCCGGGCTGTGTGCAAGCGTGAGCCCCTCCCCCTCGCGTTGGCCCGTGGGTCGGTCCGTGGGGGGTCCAGGCGAGGGGGGAGGGCTGGGGGGTCTCCGGCGTGAGGTGGGGAAGTGGACTGGGGGGCGTCCGAAAGAGTAGACACTCCCCTGACAGAGGGGCCCCTGCTCTGGCGTTGGGGCTCGCCGCCACTCCCGGGCCTCAGTTTCCCCACGCGTCGCGGGAGTGGGCGAGGTGTGGGTGCTGGGGCCGTCCTCCCGCGCTCCGCACCGCCGGGCCCGGGCCGGGGTCCCCGCGCGGCCACCGCCCGGCCGCTTTGTGTGGCCGCCGCAGACAATGGCCCGGCCGCCGGGCTCCGGGCCCGCTCTCCTCCTCCCTCGCCGGCCGCGCGCGCGCGTGTGCGCGCGTGTGTTTTTGGCAGGCCGGGAGGGAGTTCTGCGCCCGCCCCCGCCCCGCGCCCGCCGCGGCCGCCTCCCACGCCGCCCCCGCGCGGCTCCCGGGAACCCCTGGCGGAGGCAAACTTGCAAGTTTGCGCGGCGCTCGCAACTCGCGGCGGGCGG